CTGCTTCTGTCTGTCCTTCTGTTTGGTGAACCACTGCCCTAGTTTGGGGTCTTTTCCTGAACTGGGGTGAGCCTCTTGAGCCTGAAAGATTCAAGTGTGCTTGCATTTCAGAATGGGAACCAGTAGTCACCTGGCTGCCAGGGATTCTGCTAGCACCTAAGTGGACTGTGAGGTGGCTGAAGGTAATCGAAGCATTCTTACTTTCCAACACTAGGCTCGAATATATATATATAAAAAAAATTATTTAGAGATGATTTTAAAAACATGGTAAAAAATCTATGGAAACATCTGCAGTTCATGAAGAGTGATGTTCACAGCATGTGGAGACAAAAACCTTTCAGGCATATTACAGGAAACAAGTTTTCTTTAAATAACTGCTAGGTGGTGTCTGTAAAATCTGAGACGGTTGCTGAGTTAAGAAAAGAATCAGGATAGGTTAGAAAAGACTACATGGGAACCTAAATCATAGTAGCAAAATTCAAATATTCATTGAAGGCTGTAAAAACAGTTAATCACAAAAAGTGGAACTGATGATCTAGAAGCTGTCTTTGGAAACCACCTCTAGAATGCAGATAGGTGAAAATGATGAACAGGAAGACCCCAAGGTGCACATGAAGAGTGTATACCATATTTTATGTAAAATGTCACAAAGGGATTACAGCCACTTTTTTCGTTAAAACTTTTAAATTTTTGAGATTAAAACAAGTCTTGGGACTAAAAAACTCCCCATCAAGTCATCTTAAAGGAAATAAAAATTATCCTCAGTCTTTTCTGCACCACTGAATTCCAAAAGACAAAGGAACACAGGAGTTAAATACATAAACCTTTAAGTGATAGGAATTGTAACCCACAAATTCATTACCCAGCTATGGCATCCTTTGTAGGTGAGAGTAAGAAAGTCTCAGGAGATGTCCTGGGAGAGCTGTGAAGGGCTTAAAATGATCAAATCACAAAAAGGTAGTTCAAAACCTTAAGACTGGGGAGGTCACGATACAAAATTCTGCAGCAGGCATATATTGATGCCCATCATCTGTTGATGTCATCAGTCAAAGACCACCAGGACACAACTAGTCAAAATTATTTGATAATTATTGAGGCTTGCTTACTGTAGCAACAGACCACAAACCATGGAGGTGCTTCTTAGTAAGAAGGTGTAAGGAGGGGTTTGTTAAAGAATTTGAGCACACATAGCTAATTTTGAGGAGGGCTCATGTGAGTGGGGGTTTCTTCTGCATTGGATGCTGTCAGAGTGGGAGTAATTCTGCAATTGGGTATCAGCTTTTATCTAGGAGGTAGGAGAAACGGAATGAAGTAAGGTAGAAGCAGTTGCTCATGTTAGCCACAAGAGGGGGTTGCTTAGTCATTTTTATGGTTTGCACAGTGACTTTTGGTCTATTTCACTTCTTCAAAATCACGGTGACCTCCTCTGATGTCGATGATTTAGGAATTGTTAATGTTCAGTAAGAGAATACCATGACCTAGCTGCGAATAACAGGCTCACGTTGAAAGCATTTACATATGCAGCAATAAATTAATAGTGTAAAACAAAATAATGAAATGTCATTAAATTATACCTCAAATATGGGGACATGAAGGAGGGGAAGAACAAAGATTAAGTTTAGATTTTTCTCTTAAAAAGACTCAAACTGCAAAGCTAATGATAAGCTGTTTACAAAAGACATGTCTAAAACTATAGATTGGAAGAAAAAATACACAGATGTATCAAGGAAGTAAAGATAACTACCATGGTTTCGGTGTTTACATATGTCAGGCAGTTTTCACACAATTGTTCATTTTTATAATTATATAAGGTAGGCATTATTAATGACAGCCTATAAATAAGAATACTGAAGTTCAGAGATTAATAAAAACCAACAAGTCAATTATAGAGCCATGATTTAAATCTTGATTTAAGCCTGACTGGAAGGCATGTTCACTACACCACATTGCCTCTCCAGAAATCAAGGGTAACAATGTTAATACTGGACTAAATTTAAGGCAAGCAAACAAACAAAAAACCTTGACGATTATATAGAGAACCATTTCATATTGATAAGAGGTACAATCGTGAGCAAAAAAATGAAACAAGTACCAAATAGCATCAAAATGCATAATGAAAATTAGAAATAAAAAATTAAAGGACATAATTATTAAGGAATTCTCACGGCACCGCCTTATAGATTAAGGAAACAAACAAAAAGTCAGAAGACTTGAGTAACAACAATAAAGTAGAAAGAATGAACATAAATGCAGAGAGAACACAGTTATAAGTTTCCTTCAAGAATTTGATAATGAGATAATACTACTCTTGGAGAGTTATGTTACAAAGGCAACTCAGTGGATCAGACCATAGATATGGACTTATCTTTCAGCTTTGGAACGTCTTAAACAGATTAATTTTCCCTTTCTGTACGACAAATATTGGAATTATTTGGTTAGAGCATATAAAATAGCTAGGTGAAATATTTTAATCTTTAATATTTACTTAAGTGGAACTATAAATAAGCAAAAATAAAAAATAAAAATAAAATAAAAAACGACCAGACAAGTTTAAAGTTAACCAAAATATAACTTAAAAATGAAACATATAATTAAAACTAAATATTGGTATTTAGATTAAACAAATTAGATACAACTAAAAAAAAGAATGAGTGACGCAAATATATAATATATATATATACACAGGACGTGGTTCCATAGTGTAGTGGTTTAGCACGTCTGTTTTACATGCAGAAAGTTCTGGGTTCATGCCCCAGTGGAGCCATAGTTCATGGTCTATGGCCATGCCACCCTGAACAAGCCTGATGTCTGATCTCGGAAGCTAAGCAGGGTCGGGCCTGGTTAGTACTTGGATGGGAGACCACCTAGGAAGACCAGGTGCTGTGGGTATAAATAATATTAAATAAAATAACAATTACATATACAAGTACATAATGTATAAATATGTAACTACACAAATATATAATATATATGTGTATTATATGTAATGTGAAGTGGAATCAGAGTGTATAGCCTTAAATATTTTTATTACCAACATATTCAAAATAAATTAATTAAAAATTTTAAAAGCCTAGAAAGGAAACAAAACAACTGTCTTCAGGAAGTGCACCTATAAATCCACAATGATATAAATAAATGATGGAATGAATAAAGGGTTGGGTTGGGGGCGAGGAGAAGAGATAAATCTCCCTTGCAGAAGCATTCCAAGTAATGTATGTAGATATTCATCCTCAAGGAGGTGGAGCCTAACTCCACTCCTTAAATGTGGGCTGAGCATGGTGACTTCTTTTCAAAGAGTACAGTATGGAAAAGGGGTGAAAAACAATAATTTTACAGTGGAGAAACCTGAAAAATGTTACTTCAGCCAGGTGATCAAGGTTAACATCAACAGCGATTAGGTCACGTTGATTATGTATACCACTGGTGTGATGTAGTGAAAACAGCACTCTACGTCTGTGGTCTTCCTCTCAAAAACTCTTAACACCAGTCTAATGAGAAAAACATCAGACAAATTCCATTACAGGGCCGTCCTACAAAATATTTGAGTAATATTAATCAAAACCGTCAAATATTTGAGTAATATTAATCAAAAAGAAGGAAAGTCTGAGAAACTCATTGCCAAAATGAACATAAGAGGGTATGAATGGGAGCCTGCAACAGAAAGACATTAGGTAAAAACTAAAGAAATATGAATAAACTATGGACTTTAGGAAATAAAATGTATCAGTACTGGTTCATTAATTGTGGCAAATGTAATACACTAATGTAAAACATTAATAATAGAAAAACTAGATGTAGAGTACATGAGAATTCCCAATTTTTCCGTGAACCTAAGACTCCTAAAAAATATTTTACGTAGTTATTCTTTAGATTTTTATTATGTAATATTTGATACAAGCAAAAGAATATATGTAATTAATATCCAGAATAAGAATAACAATAAAACCCCATAAATCCATTCTTCTAGTAACGGATTAGAACATTACTAACAAATACTGAAGTCACCCTAATCCTATCAGTCTGCCTTTCCCCATCCTTGACATGATACTTAATTTTGAGGTTTATATTTCCTTCCTTAAAACACTTTTTTTTCTACATATGTTTGTGAAGAATGAGTATATGTGCTTGGTATAAAAACCCAATTCCACTTTTTCTATTAATATGTTTTTGGAAAATCTCTCACATATATGAATGAAAAAGTTCCAAGTACCATACAAACAATTTTTTTCCTGAACATTTTGAGATTATGTTGCCACATGATGCCCCATCGTTTCTGAATATCCTGCATATCTAATTCCACAGTGCCTTGATCAATATTTGTGACTGGATGCTTGGGGAGGATCAGACCTTAGAATCAATTAAAATGGCCAAGGACAATCAGAGAAATTATGATACCTTACCGATTTGTAGAAATTCTTACATCTTGTATGTTATATATCATACATATTTTTGGTTCGTATCTTCATCTCCATGGCACATCTGGGACGATAGTCACGGTCTCTGCAGCCCTGGTTTCAGGATAGAGAGGAGGGTTAGCGAGAAGGCATCAAAGATAAAGAGAAACAGGTGAGCAACGGAAAAATAGAGTCTGTCTTCAGCCACCGCTGTGGGTGACGGCAATAATGCATTGAGGAAGAAGCACAAAAGGATTAAAATTTACCCCTTACTAACTATGAAGTTTTGGATAAATTAACCTCTCTACGGCTCGATTTCTGCTACAAAAATAGGGGCGGTTTTGTCGTTTACTTTATATAGGATCGTGTGGAATAAATGAGTAAATTCATGTGAGGGACTTGCTTCAGGGCCTGGCACTTAACCAATGTTTAAGCAATGTACCCTTTACAGTGAACCTGATGATATATACACAGAAGCCTTAGACAGTCTTGAAAGGCCATGAACACATAAGCTGATGTTTAACATATTATTATCTATTTCTTATAATGTACTGCAACTCTGTGAAATACTTGAGAAGTCTCTTCATTCAGTTTGGAGACCAGTATACTCTCTGAGAGTGTCAGGTCACCTCCCACTTTCACTGATTGGCAAATGAGGACTTGGGGAGGAAACTAACTCAGGAGTAGAATAAAAGCAGTGGGGATAACCTACCTGAACAATCGTCAAGGGAAAGATCCAGAGTTTTCTTACTATGGCTGGAACAAAGACACTTTTGATGCTAGAAAACTTCATAGATGGGAAATTTTTACCTTGTAACTCATTTATCGATTCTTATGATCCATCCACAGGAGAGGTGTACTGCAGAGTGCCGAATAGTGGAAAAGATGAGGTAAGTATTCTCACTCAGAGAAGACTGAAGTGTGCTTAGTATGTTGGTAAATTAAGAGTAACTTAATTTTCTACAGGTAAAGGGAGTTGGGAAAAGGTGTAGAACTGCTAAACATTAGCAGAAGGTAGAAGGTTTACCTTGTAACTGGACATGTATGGTACATGGAACAAATTTCAGGTTATTATACATAGAAGCAAATCCTTAATCTAGGCAACCTAACACATAGCCACAATTCTCAGACATTCCTTAATAGATGTCTAGTAAAAAGTATTATTCGTAAAAATTATCAGTGTTAAGTACCCCCTCTTTATCAAGTGTTGCCTAAACTTGCCTCTATATCCATCGATTTATTTTGGATTATCCTCTAAGAATTCCTAATTTCTTCAAAGTAGCTAGTAAAGTAAAGCTGACAATTTCAATGGCGAAATTCAAAATCAAATTCCCATATATTTTTGGAGTTAGATTTAACAGCATCCTTTTTCTTATTCAAGTGCTTAATGTCACACACATTAAACATTTTTTTAGTGGTATAAAGTTAATTTTATTTGAATAATTTTGTGATCTATTTGATTAGTTATCAGTGATTGAATGGAGAATGTAAAATGTCTAGGATAATAAATGTGGCTGATGTATGTGTACTCATATAATACCTAATGGATTTTATTTTTTAAGGTACAAAGAACTAGATTATTTAAAAGATAATTGTGGCCTTCGTATATAAGTAAATATAATATACAAGTATTTTTTGGAAGAACTAAGCTATTATTTTTCTGTTGTTAATAATATTTTAAATCTGTCCACATTAAAAAACCTTACCTTGTGGATTAAAGTTTATCAATATTGGCTAATTTGTTAGTTAAACTGTAACCCACAAATTGTTTACTTCAAATGACCTAAAATAGATGTGGGAAATCCAACATTGTATTTTTCAGTCCTTATCTCAGAATGTTTTCCAAAGTGGTTAAAATATAAAATATGCCAAATTCAGTTGAAATATTTTCTGCAGCTAATGGCTCATGCATTTTTGAGTTATGGATGCTCTCGCTAGCAAAGGATTAGATATTTTGGATTTCCTAGTAATCTAGCTTGCAAATATTCTATCTGATCCTATAAATCCTATTCTTTTCTAGCTTGAATAATATGGTCATCATACAAACTACATGCCCAATTTCTCAAAAGATCACTCACAGAAAGTGCTATATACTTTGTATTCAGTAAGCCCTTTAATATGAATTGTTCCAAACATGAGTCATAGCCTACGAACTAGACTCTACTATTATCCTTATTTTACAGAGGACAGGATGCTAACAGGCTTATCTTTGATGCTTAGATCAATAGTGTCTCTCTCTCTCTCCCTCTCCCTCCCTCTCTCTCTCTCTCTCTCTCTCTCTTTATTTTATATTTTCAAAAATTTTAATTCAGCCACTTACACACACACACACACACACACACATCTGTGACATCTGTGGTAGCATTTGCCTTATGGCATTGCAGTTAGAAGCATAGCCTGGCTGCAAAGACCTGGCTCTACCACTTAGTATCTATGGTCTTGACTAAGTAGTCTCAGTCTCCTTATTTATATAATAGGAATAATAGTATCTACTTCATAGAGTTCTGAGGATTAAATAGATTGGTTTTTGTAAAACTCTTACTGTCTGGAATATAGTAAATGCTTTCTAAGTATTAGCTTTTGTGAATATTATTGTACATAGTAGATTAATATGTATTCTATACGAAATGGACATAAGACCTGTGACATAAAACAGTTTTAAAAATATGAATGGACCTGACTTTTCTGCTTATCAAAAAGAGTAGATTTTTACAATGACAGCTGTAAGAAGATGAGGTTTTTACTTTGACTGCTGTAGGAATAAACTCCTCTCTTGTTGGCTGGCAACAGGGCGTCTGCGAGGCTGCAGCTCATGATGGAGAACACTAAAGCCCACATGTCCTCCTCCTTCCTGTCTGCAGAACTCTATTAGGGATTCAGTTTTTGAAATGAAAACATCGTCTTTCCAGAAATTTATAATTAAGATGAGAATCATTTTATACCTTACTTCGACTCATCTGAAAATGACTTTGTCTACATAAAGGAAGCAGGATAGAAGTAGAGATCAAATTTTGGTGACAGGGCTAGGACAGGGCTTGGGTGGCTGAATTGTCAGGTCATGTGACCCAAGAAATAAGCTGTGGGTGTCTGAAGCCTGTGGAAAAGGATTCTGGGGCTGAGCCTCTGGGCCCCGTGGTGGAAAATGGCTGTAAGTGATTACAAATATTTGTCATGCATGTGAGAGGAGAGAGGATGGGACACAGTCTATCGATTTGCTTTCTCTTGAAAAGGCATTGCTTAGATATTGCCTAAGAAAGGAGAAAGGCAGCAGATGACCTGAGAATTCATTCTACCTGCATACATTGGCCTTGTCCATACCTTTCCATATATTATTGACGTGATTTAGCTCCAAAACCAGGTTCTGAAGCGATCTGTTCAACCACCCATACTCTTATCTCCAACAGAGACATCTTCCATTGAGCAGAGACAGGCACAGAGCAAAAACTGTTATGCCATAGCAGGCCAGCTTGTAATCTTAGGAGCCACAAAGATCTGGGTTTGAATCCAGATTCTGCCAATTATTATCTGTGTGACCTCTGGGAAATTGAGCTGTCAGGCTTCCATTTTTCATCTGCAAAATGGCCATAGCAATATTCTTGTTACAGGTATTTAAAGGGAGTTAAATAAAATAATTTGTGAAAAGCATTTAGCATTTTCTATTATATATAAAAATTAGTCAATAAATGACTAATATGACTGGTCATTCCAAGTAGGAATGACAGTCGGAGGATGTGTTTTCAAACAAAATTTTAGACTTTGTCAGATATGTCAGAGCTGGAGTTGAGAGGTTCTACAGATCTTGACTAAGTTTCCTCTCATAAGCTATTCCAAAAAATTCTATATTTTGAAATGATCAAAAACGTACATCTGTTAAAATTCAAATAGCTTCTTTCCAATGATTCGATTGCCGCATTCTAGATATCTCTGACGGAGCGTTTTTCTTTATATTCGTGGTGCCCCCTGCTTTGCAGGTCACGTCAACACCACTTTGTGGGTAACAGTACTGGGAAACTAGGCATAAAATAAATCGAAATTAGGCAGAAAAAAATTAGACGTGTATGGACCTGTGGATTCTGGATTCATCCGACCCCTCGGGAGCCACAGTCTTAAGGTGACCCTCTCTCCGGTTCGCTCCGGGAAGATAGAGGCGGCGGTGGAGGCCGCCCAAGCAGCCTTCCCGGGCCGGTCTTCCCGGAGCCCGCAGGAGCGCTCGCGCGTGCTGCCCCGGCTGGCGGACTTGCTGGAGCAGTGCCTGGAGGAGTTGGCCCAGGCCGAGTCTAAAGACCAGGGTGAGAGCCTTCTCTACCGGCCTTTTCCGTTTCAGCCTTCACAGCTCTCACCCTAGCAGAGCCGGGTGTTGAGCGCAGCTGTCTCTTAACCAAATGCTTTATGGAAAGTGCAATCCATTAATCAGATGCTGGCGATTCATCCTCTCCTTCCAGTTTGTCAGATGAACTCTTGCTTCTTAACTGTAATGGATGGAACGGGGCCCTTTCCTCATGTTACCCCTCCTGGAACCAGCAGGCCAACAGCCCCAACATGTGCTTCTCATGGCAGAGGCTGAGGCTTTTGCCTCATTCTGTCGCTAAAGTGACTCATCCCTGAACCGAAGTTCAGGAAGCAGGGAAATAAATATACTTTGTTTGGTGGAAAGAATTGCAAAGATGTATGTATGTCAAAGGGCATGGATCTGGGGAGAGAGAGAAAACTAGAGTTGATCCTGTGATCTTACACCAATTGTAGGTGGAGAATTCCAAAGCAAAGGTAATTTGAAGAGCAGTTGCACGGGCAAGTTATTTAGAAAGATTTCTGAGATGTTACTATTCCACTCCCAACACAGTTACCCAATTTTTAAACTCTCTCTCAGAGGTAAAGGTAAGGTAATAAATGTCTGTAAATCTTTGTAATAATATCTGTTAGGAAAAGCCAAGATCCTTTTAAAATTATACGTGTGTGGTAAACCAGTCTGAAGTTAGGAAGCAGCCTGACTCCAAGCTCTTAAGAAAATATTTCCTGCT